GCCTCAAAATCAGTATAAAAATATGCTAAAAATGTGATGCAAAACAAGGCTCAAAAGGTGCTATAACATGAAGTATACAAAATAATCACCAAACAGAAAAAAAGTGTGAATTAAACATGAAGTATAGGCCAAAATAATGCCACTTTCAGTTCGGACCAAGGTCCAAAAACAGAAGCAAAGAGGGCTGCCAATTTATGCAAAAATGGGGGCAAATAAGGGATATAACTACAAGTGACACATGGAAGCACCAAACAATGTTGAGCCCTTCTCCAATGTTGAAGAGGGGCTTAAAATAAGCCTTATATCAGTTTACAACATGCTCAAAAACAGATTGCTCATGGGCCAAAAATAGCATGCAAAGTCATGACATATAAAAGGATCAATGAAGCAAGTGTATTATGGAGGGCTCAAACAGGGTTGAGACCTTAATGAAAAGTGAAGATGAGCTCAAAAGATGGCCCTTTTCAGTTAGGGCCGGAGCTCGAAACAAAAAGCAAGTGGGGTTTAGAAATAGATCAAGAAAAAGGGTCAAAAGGGTAAAAGTATTACTTACCCTTGAAGATTCAAACTTTTGTTGCTTCTTGGATGGATTTGCAGCTTCTTTAGCCTTCAAGAATCCTTCCTTGCTGCTGGAAATGAGATGGTGGTGGTAGAGCTTGGTGGTGTAGAAGGAATCATCAAGAGGAATGAGGTTAAGGCCTTTAGTAAATGTTACCAGAACAGAAACCCAACCTAGCTGACTAGAGATCCCAAGAAATAGGTTCAAAGGGACAGCCTAACTGCGTGTAATGGGTGAGTCACTAAAGAGGTAAATCTTCTTGATAATTCCTTTATATAGTGATACCATGTGGGCATGGAAGGATAAGCTAATGCTTTCAATGACCTAAGTGATGTGAGTAATCAACCGTGGTATAATGAGATACCTTATATAGGTCACCTATATGAGTGCGAAGTGAGGCTGCTTTTTTAAGAATTGACAAAGCCAAATTCTTTAAAAACACTCACTAAGCCAGGTTAGTGTTCCAGGGTCACACCGAACACACCAGTGAGAACAAGAACAATGATTGGACTAACTCTTGTGTGAGGTCTATTATCTAGGTTTACACAAATGGCAGAACAGTTCAAGACATCACGTTTACTGGTCAACCAGTAAATCCAATAGGCTTTCACTACAAAAAGTTCAAGGCCAACAACTACCTTTTTCTAATGCAGGGTTAGTGTGTGTGCTCTCTCTCCGAGTCTTTGTTGTTAAACGTTGTCCGTTTTTCTTTATTCGGTCAATTTTTACTCATGTAGGAGATTGTTGGAAAAATGGTTTTATGGTGACTTTAATGTGAAATTAAAAGAGGTCCCAACCACCAGTTGAGGTGGGATCAAATGGGTTTAGATTCTTTGTAATAATATATTTACACCACAAAAAGAATGACAAAAAACCATTAAGAATTGAATGAGAAATTGTCTCATAAAATTGGCCTCATGAATAAGGTATTAGGGATGGTGCATAACCACCTATCCTACATTGATTGTAGAGGAAAGTATTGATGGGTATTTAAATCCCAAGTTTTTTATAAGAGAATAAGCCCTTTGGGGCATCTACATTTTCCGAAGGAAGGGAATTATGGATGCCATGCATGCCACCTGCCTACTTGAACCGAACCGGGCCAGAGCTAGGTCCAAGTCCAGGTCCAAGTCTGTGATCCGTGGGTCGTGGGTCAGGGATCGGGGATCTTGAATCCTAAGACTTGGGACTTGGGCTTGGGCTTGGGCTTGAGGCTTGAGACTTAAGACTTGAGGCTTGTTGGAATGGGTTAGGTTTGGACTGAGCCAAACTTGTGGCCCATCAACCTAATCTTTTTTTGGACTTGGTTTGTTTAGTGACTGCAGATATACATGCGTGTATATAGAGAGTGTGTAACATACACACTTATGTCCCCGAGACAAGGCACAGAAGAGGGTTCGGAAGTCCGGAGGCAGGGCTCACGGCCGCAACTCTGAACCTTCTGAACAAGCACATTATGCAACATCACCAAGCGCTCAATCGGTGACGTCTGAGTCTTAAGGTCGGTCAAAAATGGGGTGTCTACACTACTCCACCAAACAAGAAGCAAAATTCAGGGACCTCCAGCACTACTACTTCTCCTCAAAATTCAGCTCCTGTGTCTCAAGAATGTGGGTGGAGGCATCGTGGGATTTGTCACCGATTGTCTGGAGCATGCTTTCGATGTGGCAAAACGGGTCATTTGATAAAAGACTGTCCGCAAAAGAATCAACAAACTGGTAATAAGGCCGCCACAAGCTCAGCAGGGTCTACACCGGTTCCTAATGCCAAGTCAGCTGCTAAACCTGCTAACAATAAGGACACTATGAGGCAAGGCAGGGTGTTTGCGTTGGTTCCGGGAGATGTACAGAATGCAACAACAGTGGTGTTAGGTACATTTATGGTTCAGGGTCATTCTGCTTACGTCTTATTTGATTCTGGCTCTACCTGTTCCATTGTGTCAAAATTATTTGCGAAAAAATTAGATAAACCCGAAGAAGAATTGACTTATGTTTGTGTGTATCTTCACCTATGGGAAATTCCATGATCTGTACTTCTGTCTATTCTGCTTGTGAACTTCTCATTGGGGATATCCGTGTATATGCTAATCTATTAACACTTGATATGACTTCTTTTGATATTATTCTAGGAATGGATTGGTTGGGTGAATATGGTGCCACTGTGGACTGTCTAACGAAACAAATCAAATTCCACCCTCCGGGGCAATCAGAATCTACTTTTCAGGGACAGGGAGTAACGTCTCCACCGTATGTGATTTCTGCAGCAAGGGCTTGTAAATTAATTCAGAAAGGGTGTCAGGGATACTTGTGTAGTGTTTTGGGAGGGCCAATAATGAATGAGAATACTAATACGATCCCAGTTGTCTGTGAATTTCTGGACGTCTTTCTAGAAGAATTGCCAGGAGAATTAGTGGACCGTGAAATCGAGTTCACGATTGAATTGCTACCAGGAACCCAACCCATTTATAAAACCCCGTATCGAATTGCACCAGCTGAAATGAGGGAATTCAAGATTCAGTTGCAAGACCTACTGGATAAGGGGTTTATCCGCCAGAGTGTTTCTCCGTGGGGTGCACCAGTCCTGTTTGTGAAAAAGAAAAACGGAACACTCCGATTATGTATAGACTACTGGGAGCTTAATAAAGTAACAATCAAGAATAAGTACCCATTGCCGCGGATTGACGACTTGTTTGATCAGTTACAAGGAGCACAAGTCTTCTCGAAAATCGACCTACGGTCCGAGTACCATCAATTAAAAGTTAAAGCTGGTGATGTTGAGAAAACAGCATTTCGAACCCGATATGGTCACTACGAATTTCTGGTTATGCCCTTTGGAGTCACTAACGCACCCGTAGCATTTATGGATCAAATGAATCGTGTCTTCAAACCTTATCTAGATGAGTTTGTAGTGGTCTTTATTGACGATATCCTTATTTACTCAAAGAATGTAGAGGCTCATGAAAATCATCTTCGTATAATTCTTCAAACCCTCTGAGAAAAGAAGTTGTACGCAAAGCTAAAGAAGTGTGAATTCTGGCTACGTGAAGTGGCGCTTCTGGGGCATGTTATAACTAAGGAAGGTGTCTCTGTTGATCCAAACAAGATTGAGGCGATCGTGAACTGGCCGACTCCGATGAATGTGACTGAAGTGCGTAGTTTTATGGGGTTAGCCAAATATTATCGGAGATTTGTTCAGGATTTTTCCAAGATTGCTATACCACTCACACAGTTGACTAAAAAAGGAGTTGCATTTGAATGGTCGGAACCGTGGGAATCTGCTTTTCAAGAATTAAAAATTAAGTTAACTACAACTTCGGTCCTTGCACTACCATCTGGTACTGAGGGATTTGTGATTTACAGTGATGCTTCACATAAGGGACTTGGTTGTGTGCTTATGCAAAACGGAAGGGTTATCGCTTCTGCCTCTCGACAGCTTAAACCCCATGAGAATAGTTACCCCACGCATGATCTTGAGCTAGCCGCAGTAGTTTTTGCTTTAAAGATTTGGTGGCATTATCTGTATGGGACTACTTGCGACATTTATACCGACCATAAAAGTCTCAAATACCTTTTTACCCAAAAAGAGTTGAATATGCACCAGCGGCGGTGGTTGGAACTTATTAAGGATTGTGATTTACAGATCCACTATCATCCTGGTAAAGCCAACACGGTGGCAGACACACTTAGTCGGAAAAATGTGGGAAATTTAGCAAGTCTACTGACAGAGAAAAAGGAGTTGATAAGTGAGCTGAACAAGACGGGGGTCGACTTGGTGATACATGGTCAAAAAGCAACAGTGGCAACAATGATGGCCCAACCGACATTACTTGAGGAGATTAAATTACGCCAAATGGAGGATGGAGCTCTAAAGAAGATATGTGATGAAATGGAGACAACCGAGACTGGGGTTCACTTTGACAGATTATGTGCTTAAATTTCAAAACCGAGTATGTGTTCCTAATGTGTTAGAACTTAAATGGAAATTGATGGAAGAAGCACATGCCTCAAGAGTTACAATGCATCCAGGAAGTACAAAAATGTACCGGGATTTGAAACAAAATTTTTGGTGGCCAAGTATGAAAAAAGAAATCGCGGAGTTTGTCTCTAAGTGTTTACAATGTCAGCAAGTAAAAGCAGAGCATCAAAAACTAGCAGGATTATTACAACCCCTTCTAATCCAGGAATGGAAATGGGAACATCTAACCATGGATTTTGTTGTAGGCTTACCATGGACACCTCGAGGGATGAATTCTATATGGGTCATTGTCGACCGATTGACTAAGTCCGCCCACTTCCTGCCTGTGAAGACCCAGTATAATGCCGATAAACTTGTTGTGATCTATGTGAATAAAATTGTAAGGCTTCACGGTGTTCCGATCTCAATTGTGTCAGATAGAGATCCAAAATTTGTTTCAAGGTTCTGGCAAAGTCTACAGGATGCAATGGGTACAGAATTAAAGTTTAGCATAGCTTTCCACCCTCAAACAGATGGACAATCCGAGAGGACGATTCAGACGCTAGAGGATATGCTTCGAATGTGTGTTCTGGATTTTCAGGAAAGTTGGGAAACTCATCTGTCGTTGGTTGAGTTTGCGTATAATAACAGTTACCATTCGAGTATTGAAATGGCACCCTATGAAGCTCTGTATGGAAGACCATGTCGTTCTCCCGTGTGTTGGGTTGAGGTTGGAGATAGGCCATTGTTAGGGCCAGAGATTGTCCAGTTGACAAGTGAAAAGGTTAGACTTATTCGAGAAAGATTGAAAACTGCCAAAAGTAGACAGAAGAGTTATGCAGATAGCCGGCGAAGGAATTTGGAGTTTGACGTGGATAGTCATGTTTTTGTGAAAGTTACCCCAATGAAAGGACATCCAAGATTCGAAAAAAGGGGTAAACTGACACCCCGATATATTGGTCCCTTTCAGATCTTAGAAAAAGTGGGTCCAGTGGCCTACCGAGTTGCCCTTCCGCCACACATGAGTCAGATTCATAACGTGTTCCATGTTTCTATGCTTCGAGGATACCTTCCAGATCCGTCACATGTCATCGATTATCACCAAATTGTGTTGACTGACAAATTAACATACGAGGAAAAACCAATTCAAATTCTGGACCGTCAAGTGAAACAGTTACGAAACCGACAAATTCCAATGGTAAAAGTGGAGTGGCAAGAGCATTACGGAACCGACGCAACTTGGGAAAAGGAAGATGAAATGCAACACCAATATCCGCATCTATTTCCGCCCTATGGTAAAACAAGTTTGGAGGACCAAACTTATTTAAGGGGGGGGAGTGTAATAACCTAACCCTCGTACATGATTCTGGTATCTTTTCAGCCCTCAATTCTGTGCTTTTGAATGCTCATTGTGAAACTCTATGTGAAATTATGTTGAATTAAGTGAAACTTGGAAATATGAGTTCCTATCTGTTGAATAAGGAAATTATCTGTCGCACTTAAACTGTTCGAATCAGAAATTGGAAGCCTTAACGGCTTAATTATCTGAAATTGGTTATATATCTGTGATCAGCATAATTTTTAAGTAATATTAAGCATGTTTACGAAATTTCAATTCTGGAATGATTAAACGATTGAATTTTGTCCTATATGCTCTTATATATGGATATGTCAATTTAAGGCCTCTTAAGCTTGGTCAAAAACTAGAAATATCTCCTGGGAGAGAAAATAAAGAGTGTGGAGAAGAAGAATTGGGGGAGAAGAAATTCAACAAGAAGCTTGTCAAAATTGAGGAGAGTTGTGGGATTTAATTCAAGGTAAGTCCAATTCAACCTAATCAACCTTCACTTGGACTTAAGAAAGGGTTATTCTTGTTTTAACAACTTAGGGTTTGTAGTTGAGGTTTATGTTTATGATTTATGTTTGATTCAAAAGGGTTCTCATCAATTGGTTGCTTTGACACCTAATTTAGGTGTTGTATGAAATTTATACTTCAATCTTTGGTTTTATGCCAACCCCATGACATTATGTTTTATGAACATGAGGAATTTGAATCCAAGGATGAAATTTGGAAAGGTTGTGATTTGATTAAGCTTCTAAGCATGTTTATCTTGTGATACTCAAGTTGTAATTCATGCATTGGTGATGTTGGATTAAGGTATTGCATTAGTTTAATCTTGGTTTGCACAAAAAATGAAATGGTATTGCTAAAATTTGTGTTGAAGTCGAGCTGCCCAAAACAGGGGTCACCATCGCACGTGCGGAGGTCATGTCCGCACGTGTGGCCAAGAGGAGAAAAATAGAAAATGCATACTGTTTTTGGCCGCTCGAGCGGTGGAAGGGGACCGCACGTGCGGTACATGTCCGCATGAGCGGAGGTTATGGCCGCACGTGCGGCCCAGGTCAGAAATTCCATTTGCTCCATTTTACATGCTTAACCCTCAGCTCTTTTCAAAATTTGTGTTTGATACCTGTTTATGATTGTACATGCAATTGAAATGTAAAAATGTATGAAATGGTTTAAAAGAAGAAAGAAACTAATATGTGTTATCTATGTGTGTAGGACACACCACCGGAGGAACCACCGCTCCGCAACAACACTGTGAGTAATAGTACACGGAATGTACATTTATTTACCGTTAATATCTGTTATGACCATTCTGTTTTCTGGTAGACACGACATTAACATATATATTGATCGGAACTTGGTGATAATGTAAGGTTGACTACATTTCTATATATTTCTGGGCCGAAGAGCTGTTCTGTGCATTTCTAAGCCGAAAGGCTGTTCTGTGCATTTCTTGGCCGAAAGGCTGTTCTGTACATTTCTAGGTCGAAAGGCTGTTCAGTATACTTCTAGGCCGAAAGGCTGTTCTGTATTTCTGGGCCAGTAAGCCGTTCTGTTATAACTGTAATCCTAAGCCCAAGACTGTTCTGAAAGTAAAACAATATCAGACTCACTATTTGGATTTCATTTTTGTGAATGCACTATTATGCATTGTGGTTAAAGTTGGTTATTTAACTGCTTAAGTGCAATTATTCACTGAGCTTGTCTCACTCTGTAATTTTGTCTAATTCTGTAGGTAATCAACTTGGAGGTCAGTCCTAGCATCGTTATCATCTATCTTTTGTCAACCTGAGGACAACCAGGCACTTGGAGAAGCCCTTTGCATGCTAGTGCAGTTTTGCTAGACTTTGTCATTTTGTACTAATGTTTTGTGGGCTGAAGTAGATTTGTATCTAATGTTTGTTATATGCCCAACCTCTGGGTTGGACTTGTAAATGTGTATGTAAATTAATCCCAAATGCATGTTCACTAGATGTTTAATTCCGAGTCGTGGTCCTGGCATATTTGTAGTCGCTCAATGGATGTGTCTGCATGTTATTCTATTATATTAATGCTTCCATTCAGGCCCCGAATATCATATATAGTAGGATAAGCGTCTATTTTTGATTAGGTCATGCCCAAAACTTTTAGGGGCGAGTTAGGGGTGTGACAACCGCCATCTTCATAGTCAGAATCTGAGCTGTCTTCGGTCTCGCCCGGGGACAACGCCGCCTCCTCATCAGAATCATCGGGGGAGAGCCCTCATGAACTGCTCTCAGAACGGGTGCGCCTATGTCTGCCTCGGCTGTGGATAGTCATCCTCCGCCTGACTCCCCCTCTTCCTCGAGCAGGAAAAGATGGTCTAGCTGGAGCACCTCCCGCAGCCAGAATCTAGAATGGGGCCAGAAAAGGACAAGTGGAAAATGCATCAGCTACGATACACAAAGCGGAGTATGAATACCAAATACAGTCTATGAATACAGTGCATGAATGCTGTGAGTAGTGTATTAGTACAGAATGCAGTGTATGAGTACAGTGTATGAATGCCGTGAGCAACGCTGTGAGCAGTATGTAGGGTACAGTGTATCAGTATGTAGGGTACAGTGTATCAGTGTGTGGGGTACAGTGTATCAGTGCCATGAGTGCTATGTATCAAGTGTCATGTTGATAGTGTAATGCATCAAATTATGTATGAAACAGATTGTGCAGAGTTTGAGACTGCGGTTGAAAGAACTTACTGGGATGCCATAGATGGTCAACAGGTCGATGCTCCGCTGGAGCATCCCTATCACAGAGGCAGTCAGCTCCAGAGACTGGCGAGTGTACTCGACGGAAGCCTGCAAAAGGGTTAAGAGCATCAGTATTCTGCGGAATATCAAGAGAAAGGAAATGAAATGGCTGTACAGAATGCAAAGTGTGGTAGTACATACCGGGGTCGAGCCATAGACTCCCGCAAGCTCATGATCAGTCGAAGGAGGAGCAATGGGTATCTGGTAAGTCTCCCTATCCTTTCCTCGGCATGTCATCATCGTAGGCAGCTCTGGCCATCCAACTCCCTGCCCTCTCCGGGACCCACACCTGCCTTGGGCCGGAGGTGCCCTCGGTACCCTTGTTCCTGCTACTGGCGCCACTGGTCTCTCTCTCTCGACTTGGTGAGCACCGGTCAGAGGCCGCATGAGATAAGCTTGGATGAACTCGACGTAATCGCCCTGGTCTCTAAGGCGCTGCGAGTCCCAGCCGATCGTATAATCCATCATCTCCTCATAGGTGTACCTCTCAGTGTGCCTCATATAAGTGGGAGATGGCCTCGAGACTACCTACTCTGGTAAGCCGCGGGTCTGCCGTAAGAAGCGCTCACCCAAGTATCATGCCCGACAGACTGGGCCCTCTAGTAAAACCCTAAACTGGGCAATCTCTCGAGCACCGGCATACTGCCCCTGAACTGCGTCAGGCAACAGGGCCCAAGGTTACCAGGTGATCTGCAAATAAAACACAATTTGTTATCTATTGTTATTGAGAGTCCAATATAAAGCGAAGCTTAAATAAACTGTAATGTTTGACATACCTCGGCTGCGGTGATGGTGTCGAAGTAGCAGCGGAAGAACATGAAGGACTCCCATGGCCTCTGCTCGCATCTCACATCGAAGCGGTGAGAAAATGGAACACCGAGAGGGATCCCCTCATCTGGCATGGGGGCAAGCCTAGGGAAGTAGGCATACACCCACAACTGTATAGTGTAACAGAGCTAATATGAGTATGCTTATCAGATAAAGCAGTATACAGATAAAGCAAAGTGCAGTATATGCAGGATATTGTGCAGTGTGTGCAGTGTACAACCAGTGTAAAGCAGATTGCGTACGCAGAGTATGTGTGATGTACAGATAATGAAAAACAAAATTGAAAAAACAGAAAAGGGAACATGTACCTCCCAGGCTCACCAGTAGCCTCCAAGCAACTGTCTGCTGCGGCGGGAGGATGAGCTCATATATCCATAAAGAGTGGCCAAGCCCAAGCCACCCCAGTCGTAGCCGCGGATCCGCGTCACGTCCACAAGCCCACTCAGCAGGTAGAGGGCGACGGTGTTCACCCGGTCGGTGAAGAGCGTGGTCCCTAACAGAAACATGATAAAATCGCGAGCGTACTGCTCCTCCTCCTCTTGAGTAGTAGACGCCTAGATTCGGAAGTGATCGTCGAACCACGAGTACCTCACGAATCCTGCCCGGGCAAGAGGTGGCTGAGCGCCAAGCAAGTATAGTTGAGCGGCGTCCCACTCGTCCATATCTGTATCAAAGGGGATCAGATCACCCCCCACTCCGATGCCTATGAGCATGGAGAAGTCAAAGGGAGCCATTGTCATCTCCCCAGTGGCAGAAAGGTGGAAGGAGTCGGTGGTGTCCCACCACCTCTCCACCAAAGCAGCAAGAAGGGGCCTGCTTGCAGTAAGGCGCGAGAGTCCCATACAGAAGGTCCCAAAGCCGGTCCGGTCGGCAATAGCGAACCGCATCAGGTAGCTCCATATACCATCCTCGAGCGACGATATTTCCATACCCCCGGAAGGCATGGGAATCTCCCTGTGTTCAAAGACAAACAAATGCAAAGCAGTGTCGGATGTACAGTGTTTGAATGCTTTCAAAATTGGGGAAAATGCAGTGTGGGTACATATGTTCGAGTTTACACAGATATTGGGTGGGCTAAGCATACGATGTAATAGTTTCTTTGGGTTATTTAGTTGAAAATGCAGTGTGGGTGCATATGTTCAAGTTTACACAGATATTGGGTGGGCTAAGCATACGATGTAACAGTTTGTTTGGGTTATCCAGTTGAAAATGCAGTGTGGGTGCATATGTTCGAGTTTACACAGATATTGGGTGGGCGAAGCATACGATGTAACAGTTTGTTTGGGTTATTCAGTTGAAAAGGCAGTACATGTGCATGTACATGTGTTTAGGTGCGCCCAGAATTAATAAA